CTTAAACATACCCTCTGGTAGTTGATTAACTTCGGTCAGCTCTCGCAAATCCTGGCTTCTCTTTGAGGCGCGCTTAGAGTTAAGCGGCGCGGAATATGCTATGGTGTAGGGTTTAGGGTTTTGGGGTGGGTTCGGAAAGGGTCTTAAGACGGTCTTAGGGGTTTAGGGTTTTGGGTTTGGGCTCTACTTCATCCACTAGGGCACCTTGAAGCGCTTTGGAATCTCATACTATGGGTTCCTCCCTCTCCCCACCCTAAACCCTAAACCCTAAACCCTAAACCCTAATCCCTAAACCCTAAACTCTAAACCCTAAACAAAGTAAGAAAGACAGCCGTGCAAGGACTCATGACTGCAATGGCCACATGAGTTTGGGGGCGAGGCTCTTCAGAATTCCTGAACCCCGCACCCGTAGCTCTCTAGTGGTTCTGTGGCAGTTTGGGTCCCTGTGCGTAGAATTCTTGCAGGGTTTGTAGGGTCTAGGGGACTTGAGGTGCTAAAAGTATGTAAACCCCCAAAACCGCACGCAGCCGCCAGGCACTCCGCTGACGAAGCACACCGTCGTACCTGGGCATGGCGTTCTCGGAATCGGCTAGCCCGGGACTTGGGGCAATTGGAGCTGAATTTTCGGGGCTCGCATGCAGAATCGCGCTGTCTAGTACCCTAAACTGCATACGTGTGTTTGCTAGGGTTCGACCTATCGTCGGGATCACCATCCGCCCCCCAAAAATGGAATGCAAACCAAGTTCTACAAGACCATGTCGGTGAAGACTGGTCCAAACGTTTTTATGGGTTCCCAAGCCCTATATACCCCTATATACAATTTCTCTAAACCCAACCTGGACCCTTAAACCCTAAACCCTAAAACCTAAACCCTAAACCCTAAACCCCAAACCCTAAACCGGCTGAAATCCGCCAAGAGACCGCAGTAGGACCCGCCCCGAGGTCGCTGGGCCAACGACCGCGCCTCAAGAGCAGCTGGAGGCACGGATTCTGGGGGTTGTGGGGAGGGTTTAGGGTTTAGGGTTTAGGGTTTAGGGTTTAGGGTTTGGGGGCTTGTAGGGCGCATGTAGTAGGGCTCAGGGCTTGTGGGGTCAGGGTTCAGGGGCTAGTGGGGCTTGTGGGGGCAGGTTCAAAGAGGGGTATTGGAGGTGTTACACCTTGCATGTAGCCAAAAGTGTCCGTGAATGCCTTGCAAACTCGGCGAACGGGGCAACAGGGTTTAGGCTGCCAAGCATCATCGGCATCTTTGTCCTTGTCCTCGCCATCGTCGTCCTTCAGCTCCTCTTCTTTGTCTCAGCCCCCTGTAGATGTTGCGCGCTGAAATAACATATCCTTATCTTCATCCTCATCCTCACAGCAGCATTCTCATCATCATAATCATCATCATCACCATCATCATCATCATCATCCTCGTCGTCGTCGTCATCATCATCATTGTTCTCATCATGATCATCATTATCGCTATCAGCATCATCCTTGTCACCATCATGTCAAGACCCTCACTGCGAGTCATGTGCAGGCGGCGGCGCGCGCCTATGCTGACGTCGGGATACGACCGACCCGGATAAGGGCAACGAGGCGTTGCGGTTAGCTGGAGTGTTGTTTCGGTGGTGTAGAGTTCAGGGTTCAGGGTTCAGGGTTCAGGGTTCAGGAATACAGCACAGGGTTCAAGGTTCAGAGTTCTATATAGGCTTCAGGCAGACCCGGGTCTCTTAGATTTCCTACAGGTGTAGGGTGTACGGTTTCGGGCTGAAATCAGAGGTCTGACTGACTTGAGGTTCTGAGGCTTTGGCGCCTGCTTGGCAATCAGAGATATGGCATGCAAACAACGACACCCTTCCCGGTCTCCCTCAACCCCTGCCGACAAGTTGGCTCCAAAACCCCCGCAACTTCGAAATCCTAGGAACCTCCACTGGACAAACCCTTAGCTTAGGGTTTGGGGTTTAGGGTTTTGGGTTTCTGGTTAGGGGTTAGTGTCAGGGTTGGGAGTTTAGGGTAAGCCTTTAGGGCAAACCTTGAGCTTTGGGTTCAGGTGTTAAAGGTTTATTTGGGGCTCAGGGGTTTAAGACCCCAGTCAAGGCTCCAAACCCTAAACCCTAAACCCTAAACCCTAAACCCTAAACCCTAAACCCTAAACCCTAAACCCTAAACCACATTTTGGCAGCCTGCCAGGCACGGCTCGGGCTGGCATGTGGACCTCTCCAGCCGCAGCTACACGGGCGCTTCTCACTCCTAGGGCCGCCATGTAGGGTTTGGGGGTTCCCCTAAACCCTAAACCCTAAACCCTAAACCCTAAACCCTAAACCCTAAACCCTAAACCCTAAACCCTAAACAGAACCCTGATACCCTAAAAAGGCTCAACCCCAGGCGGGGGGGGGGGGGGATGTTTGTTGGGCAGGTTTGTCTAGGCATTGGGGACTTGAATGGGTGCTCCCAAGGGCTTATGTGTAAGGGGTTTAGGGTTTGGGGTTTAGGGCCAGTCGGGGCCGGAATTCCGTCGAAGCACCCATGTTGCGGCGGCTGAAAAAGTGGAGTGGAACCTTGGCACCCCTACCCCCCAACCCAACCCAAGACTCTTACCCTAAACCCTAAACCCTAAATTACAAGTCCCTAAAAAAGCTCACTTCACACCCTGAAGCCTAGAGCTTCACAGCCCTAAATCCTTAAACGTAAACCGCCTAACCCCCTCACTCCCGGAATCCCTGAACCCGCGGAGCTCTTTTTGAGCCACTGGCCGCCGTCTAGGGTTTAGGGTTTAGGTTGCAGGGTTCAGGGTTCAGGGTTTAGGGTTTAGGGTTTAGGGTTTAGGGTTTAGGGTTTAGGCTTTAGGGTTTAGGGTTTAGGATTTAGGGTTGAGAGACTGCAGAGTAGACTGAAGTGTCGGGGACACCTGCGCCTGGGGAAGCTCTGTTGCAGTCAGAGTTATAAAACGTTTCCGGAATTATTACTAACTTGTATATTTCTGTGTACTTGCATTTATACGTATTACAAGAGTCATGCATATGTACATATATATATATGTATATATATATATATGTATATATATATGTATATATATATATGTATATATATATATATGTATATATATATGTATATATGTATATATGTATGTATAGAGAGAGAGAGAAACAAAAACGAAGTGTATGAAAGCGATGGGGGAGCCCTAAACCCAGAACCCTGCGAAGTTGAGTCTAAGGGTGCATATAAGGCTTATGTAACGGGGGAGCCAAATCAAGGGCCCATACTGCGGATCCCCTATTGAGGTTTCGGGTTTAGGGTTTAGGGTTTTTGAAGGTTGAGTGGGGGGGAGAGGCATTCCATTACGTTTCAGGATGTCAGGCTTTGGACGTTTGCCTGTAGGATGCCTTGGGTTTTCGAGGTTGGGAGGGGCATTCTGTACAGACTTTGCCAGGGGGCCGATGCCGCCAAACGACCTAGAAACATACGTGCAGGTAGCTGTTGGGGACTTGGGCCCTTCAAGGGGTGTATGCATGCTTGCCGAGCGCCTCCCTCAGAAGTAGGAGTGCCAATGTCATGACGTCCGCTGGCGGTGTGAACATGTGAATCTGATGAAGAGGTCTTCAATGTCAGGTCATGATTCCAACTCATACGATGTCATGAGCTGTCCGCCAATCCCCACCCCCCTCCTTCCCCCTACTGGAGCACAGAAGCCCGCAGAAAATAACATCCAAGAACGGCCAGATGCATGAAAAAATCTGAACGAATGCCCAGAACCCACGGCCCCTCAACCCTGAACTCCATAGGCCCGTTTCATTCTAAAACCCTGTGATCCTACAAGCGATGGCTTCGCTGTGGTCTGATGAAACTGCGGGACCCTCAGGTAGTCCAGTGTAGGGTATCGGGTTTAGGGGGATGTTCCCCTTATACTAATCGTCCTTAGTAGGGATTTTAGGACCCCTTATTATAATCCCGATTCAGGACTGTTCGCATAAGGCGGAGCATCCCAAGGTGTAGGGTGTATTGTCGAGTATAGCAGTTAGTGTGACTAGGGGCATCAGGCGTTTGTTTGGTAGTGTTCAGGTTTAGGGGGTTGAGGGGTTAGGGTTTAGGGTTTAGGGTTTAGGGTTAGGGTTTAGGGTTTAGGGTTTAGGGTTTAGGGTTTAGGGTTCAGGGTTCTTCGGCTCTCAGGGCCATCCATGGCATGAGGCTACAGGGCTGTTCGGGATATTTGGGGCTTGCAGGGGTTTAGGGTTTAGGGTTTTGGGTTTAGGGTTTAGGGTTTCGGGTTTAGGGTTTAGGGTTTCGGGTTTTAGGGTTTAGGGTTTGGGGGGGGGGGGGGGGGGGGCATTCAGTATTGGGCATGGCTTGCGACTTCTCACGCTTGGGAGTTTGGGGTATATAGGGCGGGAACATTGGGGTGGTTACATGGTCCCTTCGTATGCCTTATTATATACCGCGCAAAAAACCCAAAACAACCCAAGGGCCCATACTTCAGAACCCTTTAACAAAGGTAGGGATCCATACTAAAGGACCCTGTAGTTGCCCTGAGACAGGCCCGAACTCAGCTCTAATCTAGGACCGATTCAGGTGGCCAATATGGGGGTCGGAATAACTACTAATGGTCTTCCCTTATGGTCCCTATATAGGTATTTACACAAAATACCCAAGACCCCATTCTAATTCTGAAGGTTAAGAAGAGTCATTGTAAGAGGCTGCTATAAGGCTAAGTGGGTTACATGGTGCCTTCCCTTCTGTAAAGGAATCTGTACTATGGAGCCCTTTGGTCTCTCGCCGGGTATGTAAGGGTTCCTCGATGAAGGGCCCATAGTCAGGGACCATGTAACTACCCTAAGACTAAACCTGAAGCTGCTTTGAGCTTAGGGTTCAGGGTTCAGGGTTCAGGGTTGAGGGTTTAGGGTCAGGGTTTAGGGTTTAGGGTTTAGGGTTTAGGGTTTAGGGTTTAGGGTTTAGGTTTAGGCTCATGCAAAGAGGACCTGGAGCTTCAACCCCAGTGTCTCATCCCAGGTGCCTGTCTAGCGATGGGTGAAGGCCAGGAAAGGGACCCTTCGCCCCTGCATTCGTGCGGGGATCCCGCAAGGAACCAGACTAAGAATTATGCCAACCAAGGGCTTCGTTAAGGGAAACAAGGAGGGACCCCTAGACTGGGGTTTAGGGTTAGGGCTTAGGGGTCCGCATTCTCATTTCCTCTATGTAACCCCTATAGAACCTCTATAACAGACCCTTATATAGTTCCTATACAGTCGCCCCAGTGTCGCCCCCGAGGATCCTTTTGTAGGGTAGTTTACCACATTCCCTCATTCCTACAAAGAACCAGCCAGGCTTTAGGCTTTGGAGCCGTGGGTGCCAGTTTCGACAGTCGCTCTGCCGTTGGTCCTCCTCCTAAAAGACCATGTCAGGTTCCTGAACCCTAAACCCTAAACCTTAAATCCTAAATCCTAAACCCTAAACCCTAAACCCTAACCCGAACCCAAGAGGTCCTTGTTTCCAGCCTAGCAGCTCTGGATGAGGGTTGAAAAGTTTAAAAGTGAGGGTTCCAAGAAGCCTGCTCCAATGTTGCAGGCGAGGAGGACGAGGCGCCAGAAAGGGGGGGGGGGGGTTCTGAAGCAAAGAGTACTTCTAGGTTCCCTTATGAACTCCTCTAAGCCAACAATGGTCCACCCTTTATTGGTTCCTAGGTTTCTCGAGACCTTTCAACAGCAAAAAGGCAACAATCCACAAAACTCTTGGCTTGTATGGGTTTAGGGTTAGGGTTTTAGGGTTATAGAGTTTAGGGTCACTGTTTGGCAAGGGTCCAGCCCTGCGCAACTCTTCTTATACGAGACAGGAGATATGGCGCGTTGCATCAGCCCCCCCCCCCCCCCCCCCCCCCCCCCATGATCCGTGATCCCCAAGGCTTAGTGTTTAGGGCTATGGCCTTTTAGGGCCGCTTGGGGTCTATAGGATTTGGGATTTAGGGTTCAGGGTTAAGGGTGAGGTAAGCGCACGTAGTCCCAAAGTCCGTGAGGTTTTCGACGGACAGGTACATCCATAAAGCCCGAGTCCAAAACTTCCCAACAAACCATGAGTTCGGAAAGGAAGCTGGACATTTTCAGGGTTTAGGGCTTAGAGTTTAGGTGTAGGTTTAGGGCTTAGGGCATATAGGGTTTAGGGCTTAGTGATAGGGTGTAGTAGGGAGATCCTCGGCTGCCGCCACCAATCCCCCTTTCCCGACTTCCCCTCAGTCTTCCTCCCCTCAGAGGACTGACCCTAAACCCCAAATCCTATACACATCCCAAACCCTACCTAACCCCAAACCGCTAAGCCTAAAACCCCTAAAACCCCAAAAAACCTAAAAACCCTTAACCCCTAAACCCCGAATGCCCCTCTAAAACCCTTCAGTTTTGGGGGGCTGTAGGGCTCAGGCAACCCTAAACCCTAAACCCAAAACAAGCCCTACCGTTTTAGGGGCTTTTGGGGCCCCCCCGCGGTCGGCAGGTCCCCAGCAGGCTGAACCCAGAAGCTGCTGAGTCCCGCGGCTGCGGGTTTAGGGTTTGGGGTTTGGGGTTTGGGGTTTAGGGTTTAGGGTTTAGGGTTTAGGGTTTAGGGTTTAGGGTTTAGTAGCTTTTAAGGGTTGCGTTTAGCTTTTGCAGGATTCAAAGAGTTGCTATATTCAAGGGCTTCTTGTTCATAGGTTTTATTGAGGCTTGTTCTCGTTGTTTGCTTTCCAGGGCTTTAGGGCTGTTGGAAACACTCAACCCAAAACCCAAAACCCTTGTTATGGGGTGGCTTCGGTTATTCGATGGTTCAGTGCGCAGGTTTAGGGTTTAGGGTTTACGGTTCAAGGTTGAATGAAGTCGATTCCCAGGTCTGGAGTGAGATTCGAGTTGAGCCTCCATAGAGTTTAAAGTTTAGAGGTTAGGCTTTCCGGTTTCGTGCATTCTGAAGCTGAAACAACAGTTCATACGACAGAGCTGCTTGAAACACATGTCTTGCAACACGACAGTAAAGTTCCTTGGTTTCCTTCTCCTATGGCGGTGAAAAGTACTGGGTTGTGCTTTGGGATATCTGTTAATTTCCCTACATTCTTTACAATTGAAAGGCATTTGGCGTGTGGCCACTGGCTATATTGCAACCGTTGTCACAATCACCTCGGACTCCAGGCTTGTGAAGGTAGAGGGCTTCTGGGCGTAGAGGGTTGCTTGGGGCGCCGCTAACCCTAAACTTCGCCCTAAACTTCACTGCAAACCCTAAACCCTAAACCGAAACGCTAAACCCTGCCCTCATCCCATCATAAGGCTCTACAGGGTGAAGAATATGGGGCTTTTGGAGTCGAGGCCGCAGGGCTACAGCCTTTGAAGCCGAAGAAACCTGAACCTAATAGGGTTTAGGGTTTAGGGTTTAGGGTTCAGGTTCAAGCCTGGCGCGGGAACCTTCGGCGGCTCGAGGCAGCCAGTAGCCTGGCACTTGCTACACCTAATGTCTCTCGGACTCTAGGCTGTTTCGGGTCAAGTCCATGATTCGCGCTTGCTTGGGCGCAGGGTTCAGGATGTAGGGGGTTTGGGGTATCGCTTGCCATCTCAAAACCCCAATACCTTAAGACTAAGACAACTCAACCCCTCAGCCCTAATTCTAATGCTTTAAAACTCTAATACCCTACATCTCCAAATCCCTCAACCCGAATTCTAATACCCTAATACTCGAATACCCTAACACTCTACAACCCGAATTAGCTCAGAATCCCTCAACCCCTCAACCCTAGCTTTAATGCCCCAATACGCAAGTGCCCTAAACCCCTAAGTCCCTCAACCCTTCTTGGAGGTTCATGGGTACTTATACCCCCCAATTATCAGTCTACTTAATAACCTCCTTAGCAGACTTATAAAGGACTCAGGAGGCTTACAGTTAGAACTGGGGTTATAAGTACCCTGAACCTCCAAGTTGGAGCCCTAAAACCACCCTAAAACCCACATGAGCTCCAAAATCCTCAACCCTTGGAGCCCTTTGCAGACCAAGCGAGTCGCCGACCTCCTCCGGGGAGCAGGAGCTCCGGGGCAGCGTCCGCGAGACCGCGTTTGGAACTCTTAAGCCCCTAGACCCCTGACCATTTTTGGTACACCCTAAACCCTTGTTAACTTAAACCCTTAACCCTTCACCCTTAAACCCTAAACCCTAAACCCTGAACCTGAGCCCTGCACCCCGAACGCTGAACCCTGGATCCTACACCAAAACTCTCGAACATCATGAACCCTAGACTGAACCTCGGTTCCAGAAATCTACTGAAGCTCCAAAGCCCTGAGCCCCTACCCCTAAGCGAGTCCCCTAAACAGAGAACCCCATACTGGTAGTCCCCCAAAACCCTTAGGGTCTAGGGTTTAGGGTTTATCATAGGGTTCTAGTAATCCCAAAAGCCCGAGCCCTAAGCCCGAAAACGGACTAGGCTACTTAAAGGGTTTCTTATATCTTAGGTTAGAAGCTACTTCAAGGTTCGAGGGGTTGGGGACCCGACTAGGCTACTCCAATATTGAAGGGCTCGTAATTCTTATATTTTCGGTTAGAAGCCAATTTAAGGTTCGAGGGGTTTTGGGTTTGTGCTTTGGCGTTTAGAGGGCTTCTTGCCAAGAAAAAGGGCACTCTTTTGTGAGAGGCCGTTATAAGCCCTGGAAGCCCCCAACCGCTCCACCCCTAAACCCTAATCCGTAACCCTAAACCCTGAACCCTGAACCCCAGAACCCCACATCCTTAACCGCACACCCTCAACCCTACACTGCTTTAATCCCCGAACCCTAAACCCTAAACTCCTAATCCTAGACCCTAAACCCCCAAATCCTGAACACCCGAAACCCCACCCCCCTAACCCTAAACCCTAACCCTAAACCTCAAGCCCTAAACCCTAAACGCTGAACCCCTACACCCCAAATCCTAAACCCTAAACCCCAAATCCTACACCCTAAACCCCAAAACCCTAGACCCACAACCCCAAAGCCGAAACCCTGAACCCCTACACCCCAAGCCTTAAACTAGGGCCTAGACCCTACAACCCAAGCCCTAAACCCCAAACCCCAAACCCCAAACCCCAAACCCCAAACCCTAAACCCTAAACCCTAAACGCTAAACCCTAAACCCTAAACCCTAAACCCTAAACCCTAAACCCTAAACCCTAAACCCTAAACCCTAAACCCCAAGCCTTAAACTAGGGCCCTTCACTGGTCTTCGGCGGCGGCGGGAACTTCTTGTCGAAGCCCGGGGCCTCCAGACCCTCAAGGGCCTGTGTTTAGGGTTTAGGGTTTAGGGTTTCGGGTTTCGGGTTTAGGGTTTAGGGTTTAGGGTTTCGGGTTTCGGGTTTAGGGTTTAGGGTTTCGGGTTTGGGGTTTGGGGTTTAGGGTTTGGGGTTTAGGGTTTCGGGTTTCGGGTTTAGGGTTTAGGGTTTAGATGGTTTTGGAGTGTGCGCGTTGCCGCTGGGATTCTGCGCTTTTAAAGCTTGAAAGGCGATGCGCTCAACCTTCGTCCTGGCATGAGGGTGTGATATGTACCATGGGTTTTTGGAGGGTTTAAGGTTATGAGGAAGTAGGGTTTAGGGTTTAGGGCTTCGGGCTTCAGGGTTTAGGGGTTCAGGGTTTAGGGTTTATGGTTTAAGGTTTAGGGGTGCTTATACACCCTCCGAAAGGGGCTTGGTGTTTAGGGTACAAACCTGGACCTTCGAAACCCTACACCTGCTGTGCCACGTGCCTTGCATTCGGGGGAGGGCAGGACCCCGAGAGAGGGAGGGAGCGAGAGAGAGAGAGAGAGAGAGAGAGAGAGAGAAAGAAATATATAAAAAAAAGAAAGAACGAAAGAACGAATCAAAGAAAGATATAAAGAAAGAACAGGATAGAAACAGATCAAGAGACACAGGGAGAGAGGGAGAGAGAGAAGAAATAATCCTAAACCCTCAACCCTAAACCCTAAATCCTAATCCCTTACAAACCCTAAACCCTACGATGTTACGGCATCTGAGCTGATTGGAAGCATGAGCCCTAATCTGCCGCTGAGGCCTCCCTCCCTTCGAAAGGGAGGGCTTTTGAGATCTGTAGGGTTTATCCCTAAACCCTAAACCCTAAGCCCTAAGCCCTAAACCCCCAAGACCGAAACAGAATTCAAGCGTGGATTCCGTCCCAGCAGGTATTCTTCGATCGAGCAGGGAGTGGCCACCAAGGCACCTGAGGGTTTAGGGTTTAGGGTTTAGGGTTTAGGGCTTAGGGCTTAGGGCTCAGGGCTTAGGGCTTACAGGGCTTAGGGCTTAGGGTTTAGGGCTCTCTCTCTCTCTCTCTCTCTCTCGCTCTCTCTCTCTCTCTCTTTATCTCTCTCTCTCTCTCTCTCTCTCTCTGTCTTGGCGCATAAAAATCACATCGATCTGTCGAAGAAAAGCTACCTGTATGGCGACCGCTATAATTGGGAACAACGACCCACCCTACAGCCCTAAACCCTGAAGCCCTGCACCTGAGCCCCTAAAACCCTAAGCCCTAACACGCTCAATGTCAAGGCGCCGCCGTCGTTGCTTGAAAGGCTGCGAAGGAAGCAGCGAAGGATGAAAGGCAAACATCCAAGACCTCCGAGCCACCGACGGCACCTGGACAAGCCGCCGCTGGCGTGCGAAAGCGCGGGCCAAGGCCCTGCGCTTGGCCATGCAAGTGGTGGCCGGCCCAACACCGTCGGAGAGCACGCACCCCGGGGGAAGCCTGGCAACGAGCATCGCAAAAGCCCGCCAAGCGGAGCCACGCCACAAGGAGGACTGAAGACCCGGAGTCTCAAACTGTCCGCTACAGTGCCACGACAGTGCTGCTACAGTGCTGCTACAGCGCCCTAAACCCTAAACCCTAAACCCTAAACCCTAAACCTTGGGATGTTCACCCTGCTATTGAGGACTGTTAGTATAAGGGGGAACATCCCAACCCTAAACCCTAAACCCAAAAATCCAACCCAGAATCCTGCCACAAGGTTTAAGGTGCAGGGCGTGGGGCGTTCCGCTTCTCTTGCATCGTACCTTCCCCCTAAACCCTAGACCCAAAGCCCCTAGACCCACAACAACAACCACCCTACGCCTTATGTCAACAGCTAACTCCTGAAACCACCAGGTTTAGGGTTTAGGGTTCAGGGTTCAGAGTTTCAGGGTTCAGGGTTTATAGGTTTGTAGGGTTTAGGGGCTTACGTCAAGCTTCAAAAGGCATCATGGGCATCATGGGGAGGCCGGGGCAAGCCCAACACCCCACAACCGAGGGACTAAAGGAGGGACCCTTATAAGGGACCTTAGGGTTATCTAGGGGAATTTTCCAGGGCGACTTAGGTGTACAGGGACGATATAAGGTATACATAGGGGTTTTTTTGGTGAATAAGATGAAGGGTCCCTTCCAGGGGTCCCGCCTTGTACCCCTTAACACAAGCCCAACCCGACAGCCTCAAAAGAGAGACTGACAAGGGGGGCGTTCCTAGATTCTTCACGTGCCCTAAACCCAACCCTAAACCCTAAACCCCAAAACCCCAAAACCCCAAACCCTAAACCCTGTCCTCCCCCCCCCCCCTCCTGCTGAAGAAAGCTTACGCCGATGCTGAAGTTTAGGGTTTAGAGTTTAGGGTTTAGGGTTTGGGGTTTGGGTTTTAGGTCTTAAGTCCTAAACCCCTAAACCCCTAAAACCTTAGCCCCCAAACCCCTAAAACCTTAAAGCCCTACTACATCCCTAAATCCTAAAGCCTCAAAGCCCTACACCGCTGAACCCTGGCTTCCGTCAGACTGAATTGCGACGGCGGGGCTCTGAAGGCACATTGCCTGGGTTTAGGGGTTTAGAGGGTTTAGAGGGTTTAGAGGGTTTAGAAGGTTTAGAGGGTTTAGAGGGTTTAGAGGGTTTAGAGGGTTTAGAAGGTTTAGAGGGTTTAGAGGGTTTAGAGGGTTTAGAGGGTTTAGAGGGTTTAGAGGGTTTAGAGGGTTTAGAGGGTTTAGAGGGTTTAGAGGGTTTAGAGGGTTTAGAGGGTTTAGAGGGTGTAGAGGGTGTAGAGGGTGTAGAGGGTGTAGAGGGTGTAGACGTTTTGTGGTTAAGGTTTAGGGGTTCTTTGGTGATTTTGGGGCCCTTAGCCCTTAGCCCTTAGCCCTTAGCCCTTAGCCGCCTTAGCCCTTAGCCCTCAGCCTTAGCCCTTAGCCCTTAGCCCTTAGCCCTTAGCCCTTAGCCCTTAGCCCTTAGCCCTTAGCCCTTAGCCCTTAGCCCTTAGCCCTTAGCCCTTAGCCCTTAGCCCACCCCCCCCCCCCCCCCAAAAAAAAAAAGGGTACCCCCAGTAAACACCCATAGCCCCCAGCGAAAAAGACGTGAAAACTCCACAGGACGCCCCTAAACCCTACACCAGCATACCCTACACCCTGAACCCCGGATCCGAGCCTAACCCCCCAAACCCTAAGCGCTCCCCTTATAAACCCTAGACCTTAATTAAGCCCTGAACCCCAAACCCTAAACCTAAACCCAAAGCCCTCAACCCTAAACTCCGCTGACGTGGAGCCGCTGCAAGCCGAGAAGCCCTTGATGGCCAATGCCTCGAAAGCAACGGGGGTTAAGGAGACACTGTCTGCTGTGGCCTACAGGAAACTGGAGCACTGGGAGGCTGCCCAAGCACAAGCCCTGTCCGAAATTCCCTGCTTGCGCGGCAACAGCATCCAGCAAGCGGCGTGTTTGGCAAGCTTCGTGGAGTGCGATCTTGCTCTACCGCACAGCCCCTTCGCCGCGATTTGATGCGAGGTCTTGAAGGAACTGAAGCCGGAGGAGGCACCCGAGTCCCGCAGGAACGGATGCTTGTCGAGGCATCGGCCCTGGCACGGCATGCTGGTCGTGTAGCAATGATGCAAGCCGATTTGGCTTTGGTTAGAGAGCTGCGGCAACAGTTTGGTGATGCGGATGTTTTTCGTCCTGACATAAGGCCTTAAGCCTGAACAAGGGAAACTGGGTCCTTGATGCCCACCCCTGGTTATGAAACGTTCTTTAGGGTGTAGGCGTCAAACCCCGAACCACCATCGATGCCCCAAACCCCAAATCCCAAACCCCGAACCCCGAACCCTAGATCCCAGACCCCGAACCCCAGACCCCTAACCCTAAATCCAAACCCCAAACCCGAAGTTCGACAAGCCCTAAGCCTTCAACCCAAACCTAGCAAACCGACTGTCGCCCTTTCCACCGGGAACATCCTAGACCAAAAGGACCGTAGAGTCCACCCTCAACGGCCCTGTGACGGAAACGGGCATTCTAATCCCAAGCCTAGGGTTTAGGGCTTACGGTTCCCAAAGTCATAAAGCCCTAAACCTTAAACCCTAAACCCTAAAGCCTAAACCCTAAACCCTAAATCAACCCTAAGCCCTAAACCCTGAATCCTAAAGCCTAAGGGCTGCGGCCCCTAAAGCCTTCCAAAGCCCAAGAGGCTCTGGCTCTGCCCCGGCGCCTGCTCCGGATCGAGCCGCGCTGGCTCCAGTTCCATTTCAGTTTAGGTTTGAAGAGGTTGATTGGGTTTAGGGTTTAGGGTTTAGGGTTTAGGGTTTTGGGTTTTGGGTTTTGGGTTTTGGGTTTTGGGTTATAAGGTGTAGGGTTTAGGGTTTAGGGTTTAGGGCCAAAACCAAAGACCCAAAGCCTGAATTCCACAACCCGAAACCCGAAGTGCTAAGCCCGAAAACGTAAACCTTAAACCCTATAAGCCCAAAACCGTAAACCCTACAAGGAGGCGAACCCTAAGCTCGGGCCCTAAACCTGACACACCGTACACCCTAATCTTATGGGGTTCTTAAGGGAGGGGATTCATGGGGGGTAGGTACCTGGGGAGCCTTAGGGAAGCTTAGGGAGCTTTAGGGAGCAGAGGGGAGTGTTCGGGAACCTTGGGTTACATACCCCTAAATCCTAAACCCTAAACCCTAAACCCCAAACCCCAAACCCTAAACCCTAAACCCTAACCCTAAACCCTAACCCTAAACCCTGGCCCTAAACCCTAAACCCTAAACCCTAAACCCTTATCACAGAGCCCCATGAGCCAGGTCAATGTTCAGCTGAACCAGCAGATCGTCAATGCCGGCATGCCGGAGAGGATCCTGCAGGTAGTGTCCCTAAGGGGTGGCTTAGGGCAGTTTAGGGTTTTAGGGTTTAGGGCTAAGGGTTTAGGATTTAGGTTTTAGGGTTTAGGGTTGAGGGTTTATTGAGCGTTGAGGGGCTCATTAGGGCGTACATGGCATGGGTTTCGGGACTCTCGGGTCCAGGATTAGAGGCTTGGTGACAAAGGGTACTGTAGGGTCTATTGGGGGTTTTCGGGCCTGCTGTATCACGACGTGTTGCTTTAAATTAGGGTTCGACGCGTGTCGATTTGTGAAAGCATGGAGTCCCAATCCCTTGAACGCAGTTCCCGTCCCCCACCCCAATTAAAAACATCAACACAAGCATGCCCAACAAATTGACGACCCCACGGAGCTGTTCTGGCAGTTTTGAACTTTGATGTAGTGGGAATCGCCTCAGGATTTCGACACCTCAAACCCTAAACACTAGCGGCAGTTCCTCTGGCAAGCCGCTGCCGAAGGTTGTTGACGAGAACTTCGATCAGCTCAATGTCTTCAGCTAAGCTGGTGCAGGGTTGTGGGTGGCGGTTAGGATTGCCAAACTCGACATCCCGGCTTCCCTCAACTTGTATAGCTCTTAGGACCCTAAACCCTAGACTCTAAACCGTTAACCCTAAACCCTAAACCCTAAACCCTAAACCCTAAACCCTAAACCCAGAGTAGGCCCTGATCTCCTTTTTTGGGTGGTTTAGGTTCCCGTTTTGCCCCCTTTAAACCAAAAGTGCACCCTCGTTGGTTCCTTTATTCCTAGATTAATCTTGGGTCTAGGAACTCTTAGGCAGTCGCTTGAGACATTGGGTAGTTGTTATTGTCTCTCATCTCTTAAGAATCCCCCCCCCCCCCCCCCTCCCCCCGACAAAATGGGGGTTGCCGAAATAGGCGTACCCTTTCGAGGCTCCTAAAATAAGGATTATGGTATTTGGGGGACTAGTAGGGGTACCCCTATTTTAGGAAATGGCCATATGTACATTAATATCTTATGTTAGTACTATATATATATATAATTATTACTATTATTGTCATTATTATTACTATTATTGTCATTATTATCATTACTATTATTGTCATTATTATTATTACTACTATTGTGTTTATTTATTTATTTTTGTTTTTTTTTTTTTTTTGGGGGGGGGGGGGGGGCGGGGGGGGGTGGTGGTCCTTAAAGCCAATAATAGCAGCTGTTGGGTTGAATACGGCGAAGGTTCAAGGTGCCGGGCTGAGGAGGACTCGGGGTCGAGCCGAATCACCAGAACCCCTCGGCCCTTAGCAGCACTCTAGGGTTTAAGGTTTAGGGTTTAGGGTTTAGGGTCCATGTACCTTATCACTACTTGCGCCCCAAAGCCCTCATATAGAAAGTACTTTAAGGCCCAAAGGATTCCCTATTCAGGCACATGGACCCTAAGTCCGAACCGCTAAACCCTAAACCCTAAACCCTAAACCCTAAACCCTAAACCCTAAACCCTAAACCCTAAACCCTAAACCCTAAACCCTAAACCAGCGGCTCTCCCCAGGCAGTGAACCTGATCACGGCACTGCACCGCTTGGCCGCGATCTCTTTAGCCTCCAAGAAGGCAAGCAGAGGTTGCGGGTCTCGGCTTCATAGGATAAGATAGGGTTTGCGGAGTTTCATTGTAGGGGGTTTTGTGAGGCTTAGAGGGTTTAGAGGGTTAAGGCTAGTCGAATTTAATCAGGGCTCAAGACATTTTGGCATTCAGGGTTTTAGCTTCCTGGGGCTTGGGGGGTTTGATAGGGTGTAGGAGTGGAGTGCCTGGTGTCCCAGGGCTCCAAAACCACAGTTTTCTCCAAAAAGACATCAGGGAGGAGTGTCGCCTAGACCCCAAGCCCTAACCCTAAACCCTAAACCCTAAACCTTAAACTCTAAATCCTAAACCCGAAACCCTAGACCGGTTAGTGTGCGATTTGGGACAGTTTTGGCTTTGGCTCCCACAGGCGAGTATGCGCATGACTCCTTTTAACGCTTCATGTCCTAAAGGGTTTAGGGTTTAGGGTTTAGGGTTTAGGGTTTAGGGTTTAGGGTTTAGGGTTTAGGTTTAGGGCTAAGTACTAAAACCCTAAGCCTAATTTCCAAACCCTGCCAGCCATAAAAGCCCGAAAGGCTTTAACGCCCTAGGCCCAAAACCCTACGAAGCCCCAAAAACCCAGCCCAACATACCCTAAACCCTAAACCCCAAACCCAACCCCAAACCCTAAACCTTAAACCCCCCAAACCCTGTAGGCCTCAAAAGCCCTGACGTCTGCAAAACCGCGGCAAGGCAGGCCTCAGACGGGATCCGCGCTTCAAGCGATTGGTGAATAGGCCGTGGCCTTGCCAGGGACTTTTTTAAATTGTTGTTATTCTGATGAATATTACTATTAGTATTCTTCTTCTTATTATTGTTATTATAGCTTTAAGTTGTCATTCTTATTCTTATTACTATTGTTATTGTTGTTATTCCTGTTGTTTGCTTTTTTTTTTTAGGGGGGGGGTTGTGTTGGGGTTGGGATTTCGAGTTTTGGGTTGAGTGTTTGAGGTTGTTGAACATCGTGCATGGGGTTTTGGGTTTTGGGTCGTCGGGTTTCGTTTTGTTTATATAACTGGTATATACTACAGGAGAATCCTCCAGAAAGAGCCGTAACCCTAAACCCTCAACACGCCAAACACCCTAAACACCCCAAACACCCCAAGCCCTAAACACTATAAACCCTATAAGCCCAAAAAACCCTAAGCCCAATGCACCCTGAACACGCAGCCTAGGAAGTGTGGGGGGGGGGGGGGGGGGGGGGGGGGGGTACAGGGTCGCGGACCTGAAGCACAGCAGAAGCAGGCCCGAAAACTCTAGACCCCAATAGCAGCAGGCCCAGCCGAAGAAGAGTATAGGGTTCAACTGAGGTTTGGGGTTTAGCGTTTAGGGTTTACCTTGTAGGAGTTTTAGGGTTCACTGTTTAGGGTTTAGGCTTTGCAGGCGGTGCAGGGGCTCATGTTAGCATTGTTAGCATTATTGAGCTTTTCGGGGTCAGGCGTCAGGCTGGAGGAGTTCGGGTTAGGGTCGCACCGGGAGGTCCATTCCTGGCCAGAACAGTGGGTGTGCCCTAAGTTCATGGTCTTGCAGGTTTAGGGGTTTCGTGGTGCCTGTAGGGTTTATAGGGTTTGTAGGGTTCGTAGGGTTTAGGGCTAGGGGTTAGGGTTTAGGTTTAGGGATGTCGGGTTTAGGGGGCTGGCGGGTTTGGGCAGTCTAGGAGAGGGCTTCACCAAACCCTAAACCCTAGCCCAAAACCCTATAAACCCTACAAGCCTTATAAACCCTATAGGCACACCTGTGGGATGGTAGCTCACTGCGCAAGGCTATCAGAGACGATTCGCAAGGCCGATCCATACTCGATGAAGCCGCAGGACAGCCTTTGAACCCTAAAGGGATTTAGGGTTTAGGGTTTAGGGTTTAGGGTTTAGGGTTTAGGGTTTAGGGTTTAGGGTTTAGGGTTTAGGGTTGGGATGTTCCCCCTTTTTCTCACAGCCTTTAATAGGGATTTAGTATCCCCCTACTATAATCCCTATGAAGGACTGTTAGTAGAAGGGTGAACATCCCAAGTTGTATTGTCCTAGGGCTTTCGGGGTTCCGGGTTTTGTGGTCTAGGGTTGTTTTTGGTTTCAAACTGTACGAAAGTGCTTTAGGTTTGTAGGTTTTTTTTTTTTTTTTGGGGGGGGGGGGGGGTTAGGGGTTTGTAGGGTTTCTAGGGTTTGTGGGGTTTTTATGGGGTTTCAGGGTTTTCGAGTTTTTTTTTTTTTTTGGGGGGGGGGGGGGGGGGGGGGTGGGGGGGGGGGGGGGGGGGGGGGCAGCAAGGCCTCTAGCTTTGTGAGCGGCCAACCGGAAGCCCTGCACCCTAAACCCAAGACCCCTAAACCCTAAACCCTAAACCCTAAACCCTAAACCCTAAACCCTAAACCCTAAACCCAAGACCCTAAACCCGAAACCCTAAACCCGAAACCCTAAACCCTAAACCCTAAACCAAAACTTCAATTAAATTACTTCATAGTTTCATGTTGCTGCAAACCTGAACCTTAGACTCCATCCGCCCCCCCCCACTCCACCCTCACAGAAGGCAATGACACCAACTAGAATCTAAACCCGAAACCCTAAACCCGAAACCCTAAGCCCGAAACCCTAGACCCCGAAACCCTAAACCCTAAACCCGAAACCCCCTTTGACGCCCCTCCCAGGATTTGTCCAACATCGCCTGGGGCCTCACGAAGTTAGGCATCCAAAACTCCATGCTCTTCTCGCTGCCCCCCGGCTCAGAGGTTTAGGGTTTAGGGTTTAGGGTTTAGGGTTTAGGGTTTAGGGTTTAGGGTTTAGGGTTTAGGGTTTAGGGTTTAGGGTTGGGATGACTTTGAGGGTTTCGGGGTTTAAGCGTTTTGGGTAGGGGGCTTATAGGGGGCTAAGGACATCTTCTGGACGGTGTTTAGGGGTTCAGGCCTCGGCGTTCATCAAAGACACTAAAGGAGGGACCCTTATAAGGGACCGTAGAAGTTTTTTCGGGGTTAAGTAGGGTTTAGGGTTTAGGGTTTAGGGTTTAGGGTTTAGGGTTTAGGGTTTAGGGTTTAGGGTTTAGGGTTTAGGGGGCTACTTAGGGCCCTGGGAAAATGAGTGAGAATTCACCTCGCAGACTTGTTGTTGGCCCTAAACCCTAAGCCCTAAATCCTAAACCCTAAACCCTAAACCCCAAACCCCAAACCCTAAACCTTAAACCCTAAACCCTAAACCCTAAACCCTAAACCGCAGATTGTTTCGGCTTCTCGGGAGAGCCTGTGACTACACCTGCAGGTCCTACTGCTGCAGGGCGTCGTTGGGGAGAATTGATATCTGAGGTCCGGGTTAGGGTTTAAGGGTTTGGGGTTTAGGGTTTAGGGTTTAGGGTGGCCGCCCCATGAACATATCAGATGAGGAAAGCGGACCTCGCGGAGAAGAGCCTTACTCTAGCGCAGCGCGCGGTACAAGTCCATCTCGGAACATCATCAACCCAAGACCCTACAGCCTAAATCCTAAACCCTAAGCCCTAAACCCTAAACCCTACAGCCGGGGTTCGGGGTTTAGGGTTTAGGGTTTAGGGTTTAGGGTTAGGGTTTAGGGTTTGGGGTTTAGGGTTTAGGGGTTTAAGGTTTTGGGCTTGTATGGCCGCTTTGCGAGGTAAGTAGGACTTGAAAAGGTCGCCTCTGTGTTGCGGCTGCAGGGTTCAGGTTCCACATGATCCGGACAAAGGCTTAAAAAGCGCGAGCGCCTAACGACCCAAAGCTTTAAAAACCCCACACCGGAGCTCCCAAACCCCCCAAACCGTAGATCCCAAACCCGAAAGCCCCAAAGCCAAAACCCAAACCCCAAACGCCTAATCCCTAAATCCCTAGACTCTTAACCCTAAAGCCCTAGTTGCGCTAAACTCCCTAAAGCCCTTCACCCAAAAGACCCTAAACCGAACCGCAAACCCTACATGCCCTAAATGCCCGAAAATCCCCGAACCTCAAACCCTAAACCCTAAAATGCCCCACAATCTAACGTGGAACCATGGGCCCTTAGTATGGTCCCTTACCCTTGTTACTGGGATTTACAGGGATCCCAAGTATGGGCCCTTATTACGTATAGTCTTTATATAAGGGTTAGAGAAAGAGCCCACCCTGACCCCTAAACCCTAAACCTTATAAGCCCTAAACCCTCAACCTTGAACCCTAAACCCGATAAATCTTACAAACCCGAGAAGCCCTATAAACCCTAAACCCGATAAGCCCTAAACCTTAAACCCTAAACCCTATAAACCCTATAAATCCCATAAGCCCTAAATGCCCGAAAGAGCCCTAAACCTCAAACCCTAAACCCTAAACCCTAAAAGCCCTTAAACCCCATAAGCCCTAAAAGCCCCAAAAGCCCTTAAACAGCCAAAGAACCTGGCCTGGATGCCGAGGCTCTCAGACCGCATCCTGCGCGCCCGACACAAGTTTTGGGCTCCGTTTCGGGTTTAGGGTTTAGGGTTTTGGAGTTTAGGGTTTAGGATTTAGGGTTTAGAGTTGTAGGGCTTTCGGGTTTAGGGCTTAGGGTGGTTAGGGGTTTGGGGGTTAGGGTTTAGCAGCTAAGGATGTTAGGATTTCGGGTTCCATGGTTTTGGGGTTTTTAGGGGGTTTAGGGTTCAGGGTTTAGGGTTTTGGGATTTAGGGTTCCAGAGTTTTGGGTTTTGGATTTAGCGTTGCAGGGTTTTAGGGTTTAGGGGAACAGAGTTCAGAATTTTTGGGTTTACAATTCAGAGTTGAGGGTTTGCAAGCCCCTGCTCGTACCCCGCTCCCCCCCCCCCCCAAGGACCAACGAGCCAAAAGTTAGATCAAACAACGTCTACCCGGTCTTCATTTTGGGTAAACAGGTCCCTAATTTCCTAAATCCTATAAAATTCGAAACCCGATCGAAGCCACATAACCCTATACGCCCTACAAGCTCTATAACCCACCAGGTTTCTAGGGTTCATAGGGTTCATTTCCAACCTTATGGGCTTTTGATAAACCCTAAACACCTACAAACCCTAAACCCCTACACCCCTGCACCCCTACACCCGAAACCCTCAACCCTACATGGGCTTCGGTCGCAACCTCGTGCTTCGCAGGAGCTTCGAAGGTGATGGGGTTGAGGAGGTTGAGGGATTCTTGGGTTTCTTTTTTTAGAGTTTTGGGTTGAGGGTTTGTGGCTTTGTGGGTTTGAGGGTTGTAGGGATTGGTGTTAGGACTTTAGGAGGTTGAGGTATTTTATAGGGATCCGACGTATGGGCCCTTATCATATGTATAGTGTACACAAGGGATATATATATATATATATATATATATAGCAAGGGCCCAGGTTACGGGCCCACACACACATGGAACTCTATACAGTAGGCCTAAACCCTAAAACCCTAAACCCCCAGAAGGGTCCGAAGAACCTATGTGGGAGACACTTGCCCAAACCATACTAGTACTTCCTATTATAGAAACCCTACTTTCTACTATGTAGCTACTTAGGACCCTTTGGGGCCCTAAACCCTAAACCCTAAACCCTAGACCCTAGACCTAAACCCTAAACCCTAGAAGCCCCAATGCTTTGAGAGCCAGGGTGCGCATCGACTCCTTCCAGCCGGTCAACCTGTCGATGACACTTTGGGCATTTGCCAGGCGCCATGGGGTTGTTGGGGTTCTAAACCCGAAACCCGAAACCCTAAACCCTAAACCCTAAACCCTAAACCCTAAACCCTAAACCCTAAACCCTAAACCTCATTCCACCTGTCACTTGTAGTTGCTGGGTTCCTTAACAGCAAAATGCAGAAGCCGCAGCTGTATTTACTGAGCGTCGTGATGTCGCAACATATTTCAAGCTCTCTAAGCAGCTGCGCAGTCCAAATGCCCAAAGCCTATCCAGAATTCCAGGACTCAAGCTCGTATAGCGCTCAGGGTTTAGGCTTATTGGGGTTCTGGGACCTCAACCTCCAAAACCCTGAGCCCCAAAACACCTAAATTTCAACACGCCAAGCCCCAAAATCCCGACCGAAATCCCCAAACCCATGCTGCGCTAAATGGCTAGAGGTCTGGTCTCTCCGATGAGAGGCTGCTGCGAGCAGCGGCACAGGAGGCGACGTATGGGTTCAACGTTTCCCTGAGCTCCACGCATATATATAGAGTCACTTATATACACTTTTAACATGGGGGAACTTCCCTTTTATTCCGAGATGCCATCCCTAACCCCTCAACCCTAAACCCTAAACCCTAAGCCTAAGCTCTTAACAACCCTAAGCAGCCTGACAAGAAAAAGCCACCCCAAAACCGCTTGGCCTTCAACTTTACAGGTCTCTCAACAAGAAGCCCCAAATCCCGAAGCCACCCTAAACCCCAGACCCTAAATCCTAAACCCTAAACCCTAAACCCCAGATCCTAAACCCTAAACCGCCAGAAGCCCTGATGTCTCCCGGTTGCAGTCCCCGACAGATTCTCACCTTCGGGGTTTCCCAGAGCGTTTAGGGTTTAGGGTTTAGGGTTTGGGGTTTGGGGTTTGGGGTTTGGGGTTTGGGGTTTAGGGTTTGGTGTTTTGGGTTTAGGGTGTACCACTTTGGGCTTGTAGTGTTTTGTTAGGGTTGAGGGTTTTAGGGTTCAGGGTGTTTGCGTTGAGGGTTTTGGGGGTTCAGAGGTTTTGGGGTTGAGGATTTTAGGGTTTAGGATTTGCATATTGTGTTGTGTTTGTTTTTGACCGTCTGTGCCGTTGTTTGAGGGGTTTTAGGGTTTTAGGGCTTGAGCTAAAGACCGGCAGGACCCACCTCTGCTAGCTGTAGGGTTTAGTGTTTAGGGATCAGGGTTCTCGGTTTAGGGTTTAGGACCCAGACTAGGGCCTTCTTCCCTTTGTTAGGGGTTTGGTTCCTTGTATAAGCACCTTTTTTTGGGGGTACCCAGTAGTTAGACCTAGGTTACACTTGGGTCTAGGAGTCTATTACCCTCCTGAAAGGGTTCCCATCTATGGGCCTTGGGTTGCATAGTTGCATAGGGTATACCATATAAGGGGTATATAAGGGGTATATAAGGGATATACCATATAAGGGGTATATAAGGGGTATATCATATAAGGGGTATATAAGGGGTCCTCGTTTTAAGGGCCCACATAACGGGACCGTGTAAACGCCCTCAGAAGGAGACGGCTCAGAGCTCTCCAGCGGGATTTCCCCTTGGATTCAGGATCCTTGTCCCACTACCTCCCCCCTCCCACCCCCCACTCCTACCTGTTGAACCTTCCGCCCTAAGCTTAGGGATTCAGGCCCTAAACCCGAAGCCATAAACCCTCAACCCCAAACACCAAACCCTAAACCCCAAACCCTAAACCCTGAACCCCAAACCCTAAACCCCAAACCCTAAACCCTAAACCCTGAACCCAAAACCCAAACCCTAAACCCCAAACCCTAAACCCCAAACCCTAAACCCTAAACCCTGCTGCATCTTGAACCGAAGCCCTGAGCCTGGCGAGGTGAAGCACCAGCTGAAAGACTTTGAGCCGCAACAAATTGCCGCCCTGTCTTGTTGCTCCTTCCGGGTTGAGGGTTTAGGGTTTAGGGTTTAGGGTTTAGGGTTTATGGACTGACATCCTTTAAGGCATGTGGCATGGGGCTTGGAGTTTAGCGTGTGGACTTGACAGGTTGGACCCTAAACACTGAACCCTGAATCTGAGCCCTGAGCCCTCAGCCCTGACAGAAAGCGACGAGCACAGTACACCGTCGAGTGGCTTGGAGTGTGGACGCTTCCACGGCTGACGCACACCTACGCACTCTTCGAACGAGCGTTTCTTCGTTTTGCTGCTGTGCAATCAACATCTGCAACGGCTGCTTCTTCCGGTTCGACATGTCTGTAAGCGATTTGGTCGATGCCTGCCAGATCCTGTTGCAGAGATTTTTTTTCCGCCAAGGAGCCCCGAAGCTACCCGAAAGACTCCTCTTATCTGTGGGGCCTGGAGACTCTTCAGCTCCGTGTGGGGAGCTTGGGTTGAGGGTTTAGGGTTTCGGGTTTGGGTTTTGGGGTTTCGGGTTTGGGGTTTAGGATTTATGTAGGGTTTAGGGTTAGTTGGCTCTCAATGCTCTGTGCGGGTGCGGGGCAGTGGGGGGGGGGGGGGGTTGAGGTTTCAAGGTTTCAGGCACCCCTGGGAAGGATCTGAGGGACTTAGGCGGGAGAGCAAGACGTCCTGAGGGCAGGGCTTGCCTTTAGGGTTTAGGGTTTAGGGTCTAGGGTTTAGGGTTTAGGGTTCAGGGTTTAGGGTTCAGGGTGTTAGGGCGTCACAACCCTCACGACGTCGAACAGATACCTGCACGTCGCCTCGCTCGACGACTTGTGTCTGCCCGCACAGAAGAAGCGTGCATTTGGTCATTTTTTCCTGGCCCTCACTGTCAATTACTCCCCTCCCCCACCGTAAATATTCCGCAGTATAGCTAAATTTAACATAGCGTTCATGCTTGGGGATGCGTTAACCCTAAACCCTAAACCCTAAACCCTAAACCCTAAATAGGGCTGTTCCGTTGGGTCGTAAGGGGTGCGTTCCAGCCGACTCTCAGTCGGAAGCCAGGCAAACACGACGTGGGCAATGGCCAAGTGCGGCTACGTGGACGAGGTTCCGTTTAGGGTTTAGGGTTTAGGGTTTAAATAGGGTTTAGGGTTTAGGGTTTAGTGTTTAGGGTTTAGGATTTAGTGTTTAGGGTTTAGGGTTTATGGGATAGGTTTGCTTTAATTGGGTGTTTGGAACCGTAGATGCTGCGTAGAGTAGGTAATCTCACCTCCCGAATCCCTCCCCGCCCCATTCTCTTCCGAGCCCAAGTCTCCAAAGCCTTTACAAAGGGTTTAGGGTTTAGGGTTTAGGGTTTAGGGTTTAGGGTTTAGGGTTTATTTAGGGTTTAGGGTTTAGGGTTTAGGGTTTAGGGTTTAGGGAAACTAATTAGGTAGCAGGTCTCATGCCTCCTTGCTGGGGGACTTCGTTTTGCACAGAACGTGCTACGAAAAAGGTTTAGGGGTTTAGGGATGAATCCCGCTCTTCACTCAGCTCCTTCAAGCTCCTAGATGTTTCTCAACACAGCGTCCCTTTTGTTTACGTCAGATATGTCATTTTCAACCTCAGGAGCCCTACCAGGCCCTACCAAAGAACATGGCTCCGGCTCGCACAACGGCCTGTTCGCACATCCTTTGGGCCACAATGCCGAGTGGGCTAGATGACGGCACGGCGAAGTGCCAACGCGTGAGCCGGGGCTCTTGCAGGCGGCCAAACACTACACCCAGAAGCCTAAACCCTAAATCCTAAACCCTAAACCCTAAACCCCAAACATTGAGGACCCCAGCAGCCTTGAGCATGAAGCCACTAGACCCCCAAGGACAGTGCGGAAGAAGAGGCCACATGGAAGTCTGGCACCCCTAGCCCTACAAGGCATCAACTTGGTAGCACAGTGGTACCCTCTACCCTTTGTTTCTTTTTGGTTATGGGTTTCCTTATGAAATACCCTAAACCCTAAACCCTAAACCCTAAACCCTAAACCCTAAACCCTAAACTCAAAAAAGGGAGCCTTTCTGTAAGATGGTTGCTGGGCTACTAAGCATGCATGTTTGAAGCACTTGGGGGACGCAACAATGAAGAGGCTGGAAGGGAAGCCATGAACCCCTTGGGGTTTAGGGTTTAGGGTTTAGGGTTTGGGTTGAGGGTTTAGGGTTTAGGGTTTAGGGTCTAGGGTTTCAAGCAAAACCCGGTTCACATCATCTTTACCGAGGCCCGTATCCGTCCAACCTGCAACCTGCGGCAGCCGAAATCAAATTAGTAAGTAACCCTAAACCCGAAACCCTAAACCCTAAACCCTAAACCCGAAACCCTAAACCCGCCAGCTTTGTTGAACTGAGGGTTTCACGACAGATTAACCGATGTAGGGCATCTTCCAGGTTCTTGAGGTTTAGCCCTAAACCCTAAACCCTAAACCCTAAACCCTAAACCCTAAAACCTAGACCCTAAACCCTAAACCCTGAACCCTAAACCCTAAACCCTAAACCCAGGATTTAGTCTTCGGCTTGATGGTTTTGGGATGTCGGGTTTAGGTGCCACGCGGGGCTCAAGGTCTTCAGAGATCTAAGCCGTCGACTCACGGACCCTAGGGCCCTTAATCCTAACAACTTGAGACTTCGGGTTTAGGGTTTAGGGGTTTAGGGTTTGCGGTTTAGGGGTTCAGGGTTCAGGGTTCAGGGTTCAGGGTTTAGGGTTTAGGGTTTAGGGTTTAGGGTTTAGGGTTTAGGGTTTAGGGTTTAGGGTTTAGGGTTTAGGGTTTAGGGTTTAGGGACTTAACCCTATAGCTTCGGCTGTGCCTCACCTGCGGCACCGCCTGGAGGTACTCTTTGAGCAGGCGGCGGAGCATGCCATTTCGCAGCTGAAGAAGTCCCAAACTCGGAGCTCTGGCCCTCCGAATCCCTAAACCCTAAACCCTAAACCCCTAACCCTAAACCCTAAACCCCTAACCCTAAACCCTAATCCCTAAACCCTAGTTAGTGCTGAAGAAGTTGCGAACCCGGAGGTCCAACACCCTAGAAGCCCCGAAGTTATCGCCACATGCCCGAAGTCCGAAGCCCTAAGCCTCGCAACCAGCAATCCTAAACCCGGTAGGTTTAGGGTTTAGGGTTTGGGTTTAGGGTTTAGGGTTTAGGGTTTAGGGTTTAGGGTTTAGGGTTTAGGGTTTAGGGTTTAGGGTTTAGGGTTTAGGGTTTAGGGTGTAGGGTGTAGGGTGTAGGGTGTAGGGTGTAGGGTTTAGGGTTTACGGTTTAGAAGCCTTCAGGAGCCCTAGCCCCTAAGCCCTCTAGAACTCAAAGTTTCCACCATATGCCCCAAGAGCTTAAGCCCTACCCTGGAAACCCTAAATCTGGTTGGCCCCAAACCCAGCACCACAAAACCTAAACCCTAGTAAACCTAAACTCCAACCCTAAACCTTCAGCTCTAAACCCTAAACCCTAAACCGTAAACCCTAAACCCTAAACCCTAAACCCGAAACCCGAAACCCGAAACCCGAAACCCGAAACCCGAAACCCGAAACCCGAAACCCGAAACCCTAAACCCAATCTCAAGGTTCCAGCCCATGAACTTCAGCATGCTACTCTATTCCTACGCCCTGGCCCAGCAGCGCCACGAGAAGCTCTTCCAGGAGGTCTTGGACAGCTGAGGGTTTAGAGGGGGCCGGGCTTGAAAGGGTTTAGGGTTTAGGTTTTAGGGTTTCGGGTTTAGGGTTTAGGGGGTTCAGGGTTTAGGGTTTGTGGGGTTTAGGGTGAAAGATCTGTAGGGCCAGGCTTTTAGAAGGATTTGGGGACCCTAGGCCCTCGATTGTTTCGATTGTGTTTGGGTCTAAGCCTAGTTCTACGGGCCCTTAATATGGTCCCTTACCTCCTCTAAAGGGCTCTGAAGTACGGGCCCTTGGGCCGAGGAGGGTCTGTAGAATGGTTTATAAGGGGACCCCAAGATTACAGCGGGGCGCTCTTTGTTCAGGATTGGGGGGGGGGGGGGGGTTCCCTCGTGAACAGTTCTTTGGTCCTTGGGTGTGAGGATTTTTTAGGAGTTGTATGAGGCTTGTAGGAAGTATAGGAGGTATTAGGCTTGGGAGTTGCTGGGCTTACTTAGGGTTCTTTTGGGTTTAGGGCATCTGATCCAGCCCTATGCACATGATCTCTTATGCAGGTTCCGACATCATGAAGCCCCTAAACCCTAAACCCTAAACCTTAAAACCTAAACCCTAAACCCTAAACCCTAAACCCTAAACCCTAAACCCTAAACCGTGGTCCTCCATGCACGAAGCCGGGAGATGGCATCTGCTTCGCGCCACACGTCGCGATGTCGAAGCGGGTGTGACGAAGAAGTTCCGTCGGCGAACAGGACTGGGGCAAAACAGCCGCTAGAGCACCCTAAACCCTAAACCCTAAACCCTAAACCCTAAACCCTAAACCCTAAACCCTGAACCCTAAACCCTAAACCCTAAACCCTAAACCGCGAGAGCATCCTCGATGGAAGTCGGCACCTCGACACGCTCTGCAATCACCACGTCACCAAGGCCATTCTTCCCTGCGAATTTCTGTTCTCGTCTTGGTACTTGGTAGCCCAGTGGTACCCTTTTCCCTTTTGTTTTGGTTCAAGGTTCCCCTTATAAATGAACCAACCAAAAACGGGTGCCCTTATGATGATATGGTTACTGGGGTACCAAGGGTAGCTCAGTGGTACCCGTTTGCCCTCTTTTTTGGGTTGCTGGTTCCCTTAAGGTCGCTCAGTGGTACCCGTTTGCCCTCGTTTTGTTGGTTGATGGTTCGCTGAGAGAGGAACGAACCCCAAACAGGATACCCTTGTCAGAATATGGTGCCAAGTCCTTGCAGTCGCAGCAACATTTGGCCCCCCCTTAGCGGCCCAGGCAACTGTTGAAAGGGTTTAAGGTTTAGGGTTTAGGGTTTGAGGTTTAGGGTTTGGGGTTTGGTGTTTAGGGTTTAGGGTTTAATTAGGGTTTACAGGTTGGGATGTTACCCCTTATGGTAACAGTCCTTAATGGGGATTATAGTATCACGATTGTAATCCCCAGTAAGGATTGTTAGTGTAAGGGGGAACATCCTGACTTTTTCCGGGCCTGAAAGGGTTTATAGGTTTGTTATATGCAAACCCTAAACCCTGAACCGTGAACCCTGAACCCTGAACCCTGAACCCTGAACCCTAAACCCTACACCCTAAACCCTAAACCCTAAGCCACGGCGTTAGTGGGGTTTTGGCCTCTCCAGCCCATCGCAGGTTGCAAAGAAGTGCACTGTGGATGTCCTCAAGAACTCGCTGTCAGCTGCATGCTCAGTGCGGCCGGTTTAGGGTTTAGGGTTCAGGGTTTAGGGTTTAGGGTTTAGGGTTCAGGGTTTAGGGTTTAGGGTTTGCTGCAAAGGGACCCTTCCTGACCCCGAACGAGTGTTGCTTTTCGGGTCGGTTCAGGGTTCAGGGTTCAGGGTTCAGGGTTCAGGGTTCAGGGTTCCGGGTTCAGGGTTCAGGGTTCGAGTTTAGGGTTTAGGGTTTAGGGTCTTTCCCGGAACCACCTGCATGAAGCGCAGCCTGTTTTCTTTGGCGGGCGGTTCCTAGCAGCTTCACCCAGATTGGGCACGCCCTCCTGCTTACTAAGGGGGCCCTAGTTATGGGTTTAGGGTTTAGGGTTTGGGGTTTAGGGTTTGGGGTTTAGGGTTAGGGTTGTCAAAATTATGGTCTCTTTTTGGATCCCTATTATACTACGGCACCCAATATTTAGGGTACCCCAAAAGGATCATAATTTTGACAGCCACCCTTATAGGAGTTAGGAGCTCGTGCCACGGTGGCTGGAAGTAGCGGGTGCAGGATGCAGAGGTTTAGGGTTTAGGGTTTAGGGCTAGGGTTTAGGGTTTAGGGTTTAGGGTTAAGGGTCTAGGGTTTAGGGTTTAGGGTCTAGGGTTTAGGGTTTAGGAGCCAGGGGTTCAGGTTTTTTCGGGGTTAGGGGTCTAGGTGTTTAGGCTTTACAACCCTAAAACCATAAACCCTGAAACCCTAAAGCCTGGGCTACGCACGGGCTAAGGCCCGACCCCCCCCCCTATTCCCTCCAGCAGTTAACCGGTCTTGCACTCACTTCCTTTCACACTGTCCTAGTAAAAGACAGGTCTAGAGCCCTGAACCCTAAACCCTAGCCATAAACCCTAAACCCTAAACCCATCAGTAGGGTTTAGGGTTTAGGATTTAGGGTTTAAGGTTTGAGGTTTAGGGGTTCGCTCTCACAAGTCCACACACTGACGCGCCGAGCTCCACGCAGCTGTCAGCGCGTCTACGCAGCGTGCCCTGAGCCTCTCATCCGTATTGGCAAGGCCTAAACCCTCAACCCTAAGCACTCTAACCCGCAACCCTCAACCCTTAATTGAAGCTCAAGCCCCTAAATCCCGAACCTGCACCTGAACCTAGCCCAAGCTCCTCACCTACACCCCCTTAAAGCCCTGTCAACCTCGGCGTCCCTAAACCCCCGGATTGGGATAACACCCCCCCCCCAAACCCTGAACCCCAAACCCTAAACCCTAAGCCCTAAACCCTGAACCCTAAACCCCCTGAACACCCTGAACCCCCTAAACCCTAAACCGAACCCGAATCCTGGAAATTCGGCGCTGGGCGGCTGACGCCGCCTCCCCGACCTGCGCTTGAGGTCGATATGGCTTCGGGTTGAAGCGCTTACCAGGATGGGCTGTTAGGGTTTAGGGTTTAGGGTTTAGGGTTAGGGTTTAGGGTTTAGGGTTTAGGGTTTAGGGTTTAGGGTTTAGGGTTTAGGGTTTAGGGTTTAGGGGTTTAGGGGTTTAGGGTTTAGGGTTTAGGGTTTAGGGTTTAGGTTTAGGGTCATTAGACCCTATAACCCCTTGGAAAGGCCCTGTATAGGGTTGATCGTGGTGATTCCTAAGGCTCAACTGTCCATCCTGGTAAAAGTTTCACGTTTGCGGTTAAGGTTTGGGCCTTTTTCGGTGTTCGGAACTTTCAGGGTTTAGGGTTTAGGGTTTAGGGTTTAGGGTATGTGTGTGTGTGTGCTCTTCCTTTTGCCGGTGGGCTTGCATAAGGGTTTTTAAGTTTAAGGTGTCGGGGCAATGCAGGCTTTCTCCTGACATCATACAACGTGCATGTTGTAAGTCTTGCGAAGCCTTGCTTGCTGCTTCTCCACCCCTAAAAACCTCTGACCCTAAACCCTAAACCCGAAACTCGAAACCCTAAACCCTAAACCCTATACCCTAAACCCTATAAACCTAAACAGGGCGACCTGGCATGAAATCCACTGCTGCCTGCGTGGGCGGATGGATGCCGACGTCCACCAAACGGGCGCAGAGCCCTCGCTACTCTCCGGCCTGCCTTTGCCGGAGGCCGGGCCTTAAGTCCTACATTGAATTAGGGTTTAGGGTTTAGGGTTTGGGGTTTGGGGTTTGGGGTTTAGGGTTTAGGGTTTAGGGTTTAGGGTTTAGGGTTTAGGGTTTAGGTCAGTCCCGAAAATACCCTAAAATGCTCCAAAATGCCCTAAAATGCCCCGACCCAGGTACACGCTACACCCGAAACCCCATTTGTTTAGGGGGTAGCTGGGTGCCGACACAGACTAGGACCGACATGGCTCATTCCTAGAAGCTCTAAACCCTAAAGCCGAAACCGCGCCCAGTTTCTGGGTTTAGGGTTGGAGGGTTGCGGTTGGAGGGTTTAGGTTTTTGGATTGGAGGGTTGGATGGTTGGGAGGGCTTGAGTTGAGGGTGGAGGCTTTCTGGTGTTTAGAGGTCTAGGTTTTTGGTAAACACCCTAAAGTACACCCCAAACCTTAAACTCCAACCCCCCAACCTCCGAACCCCCAACCCCTAAACCCCAACCCCCCAACCTCCAAACCCCCTCAAACCGTAAACCCCCAAACCCCCCAAAACCCCAAAACCCCCCCCAAAACCCCAAACCCCCCAAACCCCCCCCAAACCCCCAAAACCCCCAAAACCCCCAAGCCCCCAAAGCCTCTAAACCCTAAACCCTAAACCCTGAACCCTGAACCCTAAACCCCAAACCCCAAAGCCAACCTTGCACCCTCGTTTTGCGCGCTCCGCGCTCGCAGGCGCTCTTCCCCGAGGAGGGCGACCCTCACGCTGGCGGAGAAGTGGAGGACCAGGTGCAGCTCGCTCGTTGCTTTTTTTTGGTTCCTTAAGCCCTTAAACCCTTATACCCTAAACCCTATAAGCCCTATAAACCCTACACCCTGAATTAGGGGGAGGGCTTAAATCTTAAACCCTAAACCCTATAAACCCTAAACCCTAAATTAGGGGGAAGGGAGAGGGGGGAGATTTTCGGGTTTGTGCTTTTTGGGGGTTTGGGGTTTGCTGTCTCGGCGTTTGGGGTTGGGACCCGGGGGTTCAGGGTTGAGGGTTTCAGTCAGGTCGCTAGGTAAGGTTGCAAACAGTTGAACATAGTTTCCTACGTTGAACCCAACTCCCCCCCCCTCAAAAAAGGCCAAAACAAAATCGACAAAATGAACAACAAATGCGTAATAACAATAATGACAATCCTAAAAGAACAACCCCTTGCTATCGGAACCCCCGCGACAACCCTGATTTCCAAGCCCTATGTGTCGGAAAACCCCCAGTTATGAATCAACCCTAAACCCTGAACCCTGAACCCTAAACCCTAAACCCTATAAACCCTATAAACCCTATAAACCCTATAAACCCCATAAACCCTATAAACCCTATAAACCCTATAAACCCTATAAACCCTATAAACCCTGTAAACCCTATAAACCCTATAAACCCTAAACCCTAAGCCATGGGCTGCAGGCCCAGTGCTCATCAGCGTTGGCAAGGCTGGCTCACAAGGAGTTCATGTTTCGAGGGCTTTGCTTAAACCCTATACCCTAAACCCTAAACCCTAAACCCTAAACCCTAAATCCTAAACCCTAAACCCGAGCCTTAGAGAGCCTGAGCCCCAAAAACCTCCACAACCCCCCCTCAGTCGTCGTACTCTCAGGGAACCGTTTCCTGGCCATGTTTCCTTTAGCAGCTGGGGCCGTTGCTGGTAAGTTTACATCTTTGTTATATGAAGTTCCCGGTAAGGAATAAAAGCAAATGATCATTTCTTAATATAACCTCAGCAAAAAATGTCAATAAACGGAATCATTTTAAATATGATCCCACCAAAGAAAAAGCAGATTTGGGTACAAAACATCATCGACTTGTAGTTGAGGAATGCCTCCACAGGGCGCTTCTGGAACTAGGCCGCGTGTCATAGGGTTTAGGGTTTAGGGTTTAGGGTTAGGGTTTAGGGTTAAGGTTTTAGGGTTTAGGGTTTAGAGTTTGGGGTTTAGAGTTTGGGGTTTAGGGTTTAGGGTTTCGTGGGGTTTAGCTAGGGCTTCTAGGGCTTGTTCAGCACGGCCGATGTCCGCAGCAGGGGGCTCAAGGAGCTGGTCAGCAGTGCTTTGCTCGGTCGGCTAGAGGCATCTGCAACCAACTCCATGGGGTGCGGCCTGAGTAACTTACTTCCGCCTTCAGTTGAGAACTTTAAACTTTTGGGGTTTCCTTATTTACTAGGAAGCTCCATGGGGTGTGGCCTAAGTAACTTACTTCCGCCTTTAGTTGAGCTTTAAACTTTTGGGGTTGCTTTTTTATTTAGTAGGAAGATGAAAGCTTAACCTTTTTTGTTCCCCCTTGGTTGTTGGATGTTATTGCAAGGTAACCACGGGACCCACGAGTTCTACGTGCCGAAATCGTTTCCGACACCTCCGAAGCATGCTTTGCCCCCAGACCAGCGCACACATCAGCTGTACGTCCGGGAGCTGAATGTCTTTCTCATCGGAGTTGCCGACAACCCGCATGCTTTCCAGAATAAGGTGGGGTTTAGCTCGACGGGCCCTAAATGCTGAGTGGTGGATTATGGAACCCGAAATAATTGCAGTCGTAGCGGACGTAGTAAGCCAAGTCGTGTCACTAACCTGTGCACCTAGAGCCGTAATTGACAAGAACACCACTCCGAAGCCCCCCCAAGTGCGCTTCAGGTGGAGACGCGACGACATGTTCGCTTCCGAGGACCCCGGTCTGGGTCTGCCCTGCTGCAAAAGCAGCGCAGTGAGGGCAATGCAGAAGCGGAGTGGGTCTGCGTCGAGGTCTGATGGTTCGGGCCCATTGTCTTCAGCGCAGTTGGTGGTCTCAGAGGACCGCGACTTCGCGGATCTGAGCTGAAGCTAGGGACTCTGATGCTATCCAAAGTCTTAGCCCGAGCTATCTTGGACAGCGGATGCTGCTCCTACTACACCCGGCACAGGTTTCCACACCCTCATTGCCCGA